TCCTGAGCTCAAGCAATTCTCCTGCCTCAGCCTTCCGAAGTGCTGGGATTAATGGGCATAAGCCACCATACCTGGCCCGGGATTTTATTTTGTAAATGCACACAGTTACTATGTTCCAAGCTCTATGTAGCTTTTTTTAAATTTGTAAGCTAAAATAATGGTTGGAGGTTGGGTTTTTTATGAATATTTTTTAATTGATATATAATAGTTACAGATATTTTGGCCATACATGTGCTATTTTGATACATGTATACAATGTGGATACACTGTAATTGTACCCCAAATCAGAGTATGCAGAATGTCCATCAAGATATTTACTTTTAAGTGTACAAAAGGGGAATTCTAGAAAGAACCTTGAGGTGCTGGATTGAAATTGGAGATGCTGGCAGGAACTCATGGTTTTATAATATAAACACTGATAGATACAGAAATAGTTACAGATGCATACATGTGTATATATGTACATATGTGTGTTTCTATGCGTATATGTGTGTATAATTCTGTGTCTGTATTGTACATATGTAATACATGTACTTCTTAGCTCTGTCCACCAAGAGGTCTCAGAAGGAATGACACTCTAGAAGCAATGACAGCACTAAGAGCCCAGATCTTACAGGGCTTCTGGGTTGATCCTAGGTCTGAGGAAAGAAAAATAAAAAAAATGAGCCTGGAACATCTTATTGCGTCAGAAAGTAAGACATGCTCAAAGAATGATGAGGACATGTCAAAAGGACACAAGAGACACCCTGAAGGGTCTCCCACTGGCCAAATCTGGAACAACTGCACATCAAAACTATGAAAGTATCAAAATACAAGCCATTAAATAAAATAGAAACCTATGAGTTCACACTGATATAAACACGTACAGACATACAGACATAAATGAAAGGTGGAGATGGAAAATTGTTTTCTGCAGTAGATTGCCAGAAATTTCGACACAAAATTTTACCAGAAAATTTTCCATAGAATTAGAAAATTACCGCTATCATAATGGTGGTGGATTCAGGAAAAAGTTGGCAATAGATGCTAAGTGTTCTGAGTGGACTCTGACAAGCAATGCACTATTGGGGAACTCCTGGAACGCCTTTCTAAAAAATATTACTAATCAATTACAAAGGAGGAAATAGTAATTTTTTTATGGTGGCGAAACATGGAGAGGAGAAAGCCACAAATGACAATCTAAGAGAAGGTACTTACAAGATGTGGAACAGTCAAAGAGTAACAGTTTCCAGTATGCAAAGAGCTCCAGGAAATTAACATTTGTATTACAGTCTAATTTAAAAGGCACAAAAGATATGATTAGGCAGTTAAGAAAAGATACGTAAGTGGGCAAACAAACATAAGAAGAGGTGTGGATCTTCGCTAATAATCAAAGAAATGCTGACTAAAACAAAATTTATTTTAACCTGCTAGACTGACAAAAAATGAGAGCTTGATAATATGCCTGTCAGCTGCTTCCTGGCACCACAAGGCATGCCAATTAGAAAAAAAATTAAGGTGTTTTCTGAAGTGATACCACTTGCAAAATGGTTAGAAAAAATGCCAGTGATTTGCAAATAATCTATTATATACATGGAACAAACATAGTTCTCTTGCTAATGTAGAAACACCCTTTGTTGTGGTCACTGATAATTTCTTGCAATATTCTGTCAATAACTATAACACAAATAATCACATACTGAAGTATTTATGGGAAGGGACAAGGGGAATTCATAGTATGACAAAATCAGAGCATCTAATATCTATCTATCCCATACATCCAATGACTATCTGAGCTCCTTCTTCAAAAGCCTTAGCAACACCATCCAGCATCTGCTAGAACTCCTCCATTCCTCATTCATTCATTCAACAAATATTTACTGAATACCCACTTTGTGCCAGGGCAGATGTAAATGCTGAGAATACAGTGAGGGAGCAAAAAGAAACACAGCACTTAAAAGAGGTTACGGTCGGTAGGAGGAGACAAATGTGAATCAAATAGTCATGTAAATAAGTTTAAACTTGTAACTGAGATAAGTGGTATGAGGAAGAGCTACACAATGATATGAAAATCTAAAAAAGGGGTATTTGACTTAGGAAGGTCAGGAAGGGCTTCAATGAATACGGCTTGAGCTGAAATATGCTGGCTGGGAAGGCGGTTAAGTACGTCAAAAGACAAGGCAAGAGCATTTAAGGTGGAGGAACTGCACGTGTCAAGTCCTCATGGCAGAGGGCAAATGATAAGTAAGTGGGAATGAGACAGGCTCTGTGGATGGACCAGACCAAAATAGAGGGCGAGTTAGGGTGAGACAAGACTGGCCGGGAACCCGGAACCAGCAAAATGAAGGGTGGGACCTTTCTGCCAGAAGCCTGGAAGGGTGGTAAGCCCAAGGAAGGACTGGCATTTTGTTTGGAGAAGATCCTTTGACTGCTGTGTGCAAGTTTCCTCATACCAAACACAAATAAAAACCATAAGTCAACTGTCCCCATAGTTCCATCCTTCCTATTGTCTCAGGGACCACAGGTTTAGCCCTTCTCCTTCTTTCTTTTTCTTTTCGAGATGGAGTCTTGCTCTGTCACCCAGGCTGGAGTGCAGTGGCATGATCTTGGCTCACTGCAACCTCTGCCTCCTGGATTCAAGCAATTCTATTGCCTCAGCCTCCCAAGCAGCTGGGATTACAGGCATCCGCCATCATACCCGGCTAAATTTTTCTTCGTATTTTGGTAGAGATGGGGTTTCACTATGTTGGCCAGGCTCATCTTGAACTCCTGACCTCAAGCGATCCACCCGTCTGGGCCTCTCAAAGTGCTGGTATTACAGGTGTGAGCTACCATGCCCAGCCTTTTTTCTTTTTTGAGACAAGTTCTCTCTCTGTCACCCAGACTGGAGTGCAGTGATGCGATCCCAGCTCACTGCAGCTGAGGCGGGAGGTTGAGACTACAGTGAGCTGGGATCAAGTGATCCTCCCACTTAAGCCTCCTGAGTAGCTGGAACTACAGGTGCATGCCACTATGTCCAGCCAATTTTTTTTGTATTTTTTGTAGACATAGGGTCCCATTATGTTGTCCAGGCTGGTCTCGAACTCTGGGGGTCAAGTGATCTGCCTGACTTGGCCTCCCAAAGTGCTGGGATTAAAGGCATGAGCCACCATGCCCAGCCAACCTTTCTTTCTTATGACAAATATTTGGGGAGGGCAGCCTCCTCTGGCTCTCCTCCCCCTGCATCCCTGGCATTCATATTTCCCCAGGGGGCGTTGTTTCTCTCCTGCCTCCACCACAGGGAGATTTCCAAACGACCTTCAGTTTGTCCTTTTCTCTCTCAATATATAGGCCTTAGAACAGAATGTAAAACGAATGGAGGGTCCAGGAAGGCAAATGGAAAATGATTATTGAACAAGCTGAAAACTGCCAAAAAACATAAACTCTCACTCTAAAACCATCATCTGACTGAAAGGGAGAACTGCAAAACTGAGAATAATGATCCTAAAACAACTAAAGTCTATTTCCAACGCTGATAACCAGAGGCTATCGAGAGGGAGGCCAAGAGGTCATTTTGCCTTTTAGACAGAGGTCTGGACACGCAGCACTAAGAGAGGAGCAACTGAACATTTTAAAACACGAGTTTTAAATGAGACAGGTTCTCACTCTGTCACCCAGACTGGAGAGCAGCGATGCGATCCCAGCTCACGGCAGCTGAGGTGGGAGGTTGAGGCTACAGTGAGCTGGGATCAAGTGATCCTCCCACATCAGCCTCCTGAGTAGTGAAATAGTAGTGAACTTGAACATTATACTTTTAGGGGGAAAAGCAAAGTAAAAAAGGTTAAAGATTATTTATCCTAAATATTATATCTCAGCACCATTCCTATGCACATGAAGAATCTCATGAATGGAATATTAAATAAATAAAAGCATACAGTAAAATAATAATAATGTCATAAGCTACAAAATGCTTAAAAACATGCAAAATAAAACTCTACATTATTTTCAGATGTATCCATGTACGGTGAAAAGTATACAGACATGAAAGGGAATCAAAACCCCAAGTATAAGACGGTAACTTCCTCCTGGCCTCTAGGAGAAAGAAGAGCCATATGTTTGGCAAGGGGCACACAGGATTGCAGGTGGCATTGACCACACTTTGTTTCTTAAGCTGGGCAGGGGCCCATGATATTGATTATATTATTATTTAGACCTTTTGGTATTTCTGAAGTATCTCTCAATATGTTTTCTAAAGAAAAAAATGAGACAATCTAACCTGTGGGTGAACAACTGATAAGAAAAGGAATAGAAATGTGAACTCTTAACTCCTTTCTAGTGATTGGTTTTCTATTTAAAACAGGCTCTAGACAGGTTCACTCTCTAGATGGCATAAAATAGTTTCATGACACATAGGCATAAAGCTAATGCGCAGAACTGAGGGCCTAATCAACAGAGCTGTGAACTGTGAGGGATGAGTTTCAGTCACTTTTTTTTTTGAGATGGAGTTTCACTCTGTCACACAGGCTGGAGTGTAGCAGTGTGATCTAGGCTCACTGCAACTTCTGCCTCCCGGGTTCAAGTGATTCTCCTTTCTCAGCCTCCCAAGTAGCTGGAATTATAGGCGCCCGCCACCACACCCAGCTAATTTTTGTATTTTTAGTAGAGACAGGGTTTTGCTATGCTGCCTAGGCTGGTCTTGAACTCCTGAGCTCAAGTGATCTGCCTGCCTTAGCCTCCCAAAGTGCTGGGATTACAGGTGTGAGCCACTGCACATAGCTTCAGTCATTCTTCAACTCCAGCGGTACCTCAGTCACTCTTTAAACTCCTACTGTCTCTGAGTGAGAAAACTCTGGGCCTGTATTTCCAGACATAAAGCCCAGTCTCACCTGGATTCACATGGGCCATGCAGATGTTGAATTTAGAGCTAGTTCATCAGAGAATCAGTGAATTTAAAAAATCCCTCATATTCCCTGTTGTACTGGTATGCAGGGTACAGAGTCATTACATATTTTAGCATTTCATGTGGCATCCATTCAACTTACCTGCTGTTGCAAGGTGCTTGGATCAATAAAAGTCACCAGATCTATAGAAAAGTAGCCAACCACATCCTTCATTTTGCAGGCCTTTCCAATTTGGAGGCACAAATACATGAGAACTTGGGGATCCACTGAGGTCTGAGGCATGGTGGTACCAGAGGAGATGAAGGGGCTTTCGGCATGAAGCTGGTCCCCTGTTGACAGCACGCTGATTTTCCCATTGGGCTCTATCAACATGTCCACTGTCAGGTTGGTGACACTATCTGTAGGTGGGAATGCTTCGATCACACCTCCTGGTGGGAAAAACATGGAGTAGGTAAAAGGACACATTCACAGGGACTGTGCCCATTTGGAGCAGGAAGGAAGCATCTAGGCTTTGGTTGACTTGGGCTCAGATTCTGCATCTGCCATGTCTTGGGAGACTTTGGGCAAGTAGCTTACCTTCTCTGAACTTATTTTTCTTTGTCTGTAATATGGGTATAATAAAGCTTACCTCATTAGATCCTTGTGAATCTTAGACATACTCTATGTATCTGTAGTATTTAGCCCAATGTTTGGCATATTGTAGGGCTCAATGAATGGTAGTTTTGATTCTGATTATAATTTGAAGACACAGTGAAGATCACTGTGTCTATGCCCAAAATTCATTTAACAGTGAACGCAAGAATTATGGTCAAATCCCTCAAGGGGAATTAACTGCCCATAATCCACAGTTGGCATCTTGATGATGTGCTCTTTTTGGTAAACTTCACTGCTTTTTGAAGGTTTCACAGGTTTTGGCTTTTTTTCAGGGAGAGAGAACACTGACCATCATGTCAGCCAAGGGACTCCTATATAATAAAGCTAGTTATGAAATGTTTATAAAATATAGAACCAAGAGATATTGCTGTGTTTGAAGAACACGTATGCTCTCTGCTGATAATGGGAGCTTTATAATTTATTACATTTTATCTGTTGCTTTGAATGCCCAAAATCATAGAGGCAAGTCCGATATTCAACCACAGCAACAACATTTTTCTGTCTAATTTGTGGGCTATCTCATTGGTGTCCACAAACATCACATAGCCCCAGTCTTCTGTTTTTAGGCCCAACTTACAAATCTTAATGTGTATGTCCTCTTTGTAGAGAAAAAATTTAAGATATTATTTGTAAAGAGTTAGATAACTTAATTTAAAAGTAAAAACAAAGTGTTGCACAGACAGGTGCCATCTAGAACCCGACAGCATTAAGAGAAACTTGGCCTGTATTTCACAAATGTGCTGGCATAATTGTGACCTCTGCCTATAGTTGAAAACCACAGACTTTGAACAGCATACAAAGAAAAAAAATGAGCAGTTCTCAAACACAGTCATCTGTTACTTCATACAAAAAAAAAAAAACACTTTCCTTAAATGTCTATCAATTTGGTCAGAGGTAGTCCTAATGAACACCAAGTTTCAGAAGGAAAACTGATTTTGGAGGGTACATATTCAACCCCTAATTTTTCTGTTTGGTTGGCTGGAGACATTCTTTTCTTCAAATGAGGCCTATTCTTGCGTGCTGTACCTAAATACCAGTCACTGGGGGATTTGGCAAGGTAAATGCAACAAAATAACAATGATAAAAATCTACAGAAGCAAAAAACCTAGTGAGTCTCTATGCTTTAGTTAACTTTGTGGCTTTAGCTGTCACCTACGTTTTGAAAGAGAGTGCTTCAGTGGAAACACACTATCATCTGTAATTTACAATATTACTTAGGTATTTTATTTCAAAGAAGCTTATTTGTATTATCTTCTCAGCATCACGACCATAACCTTTGCACTGTTATTTTTTTCCACTCAAAGCAATTAATTCCTCTTCCGAAAAAGGTATTGCCACAAAGTGAGACCCTGTCACTACAAAAAAATTTTAAACAATAAATTAGCAGGGCGTGGTGGTGTGTGCCTGTAGTACCAGCTACCCAGGAGGCTGAGATGGGAGCATTGCTTGAGATTGGGAGGCAGAGGCTACGGCGAGCTATAATTGTGCCACCGCATTCCAGTCTGGTATGACAGAGTGAGACCCTATCTCAAAAGATAAATTTAAAAGTACTGCTTTTGATATAAACCTATGACAGTTTAGAAATCAAATCCATAAGCATATTTTGTGGCCATAAGCACACCGGAGAGAATATACATGGAATGAAACAGGCAATGGTGGAAGCTGGAGGGAGGGAGATGCTGACCTTAGCGTCGGGACACCTGGGGGACAACCTGGCTCAGTAAGGGACCACTGATGCAGGGCCTGCTGTCTGCACCGGGTTGAGAGAAAGGCAGAAGCTTTGAAAACACATGACTTTCAAGAACCAGGTATTAAAATGTGCTAAAATTGTAGGATCTAACTTTGTGTTCCATTTACCAATTATTGGTTGTGTTGCCCAAGTCCCTCCCATCTCTGAGCTTCGGTCTCTTCATGAAGAAAATTGAGTTAATAAAGCTTATACAGCCCTCCATAAATAAGCATGGCTGAGAAAACAGGATAAAGATGGACAGGAGGTGGAGGTGAAGCCTTAGCTTGTGGTTACATAGCTCAGGTGAGATCGTTGCTGGGAAAGCCTTTCTTATCTACAGAGCTCACATGAAAAGAAATAGTTTGGGGGAAGGCTTTCGCAGGCTGATGCTGGAAGATCTGGAAACTTCTTAACACCCTGACCTGGACGGGCCTGGAGATCATCGTGGTCTTCCCCGCATAACTTTTTTTTTTTCTCCCCAAGAAGGAGTTTTGCTCTGTCTCCCAGGCTGGGGTACAGTGGCACAATGTCAGCTCACCGCAACCTCTGCCTCTGGGGTACAAGCAATTCTCTTGTCTCAACCTCCTGAGTAGATGGGATTACAGGCGTTATAGGCGCGTGCCACCATGCCTGGCTAATTTTTGTATTTTTAGTAGAGACGGGGTTTCACCATGTTGGCCAGGCTGGTCTGAAACTCCTGACCTCGTGATCCGCCCACCTCTGCCTCCCAAAGTGCTGGGATTACAGGCTTAAGCCACCATGCCCAGCCTTCCCCGCATAACTTTTAAAGAAACCTTATTAGGCTGGGCATGGTGGCTCACGCATGTACATCCAGCACTTTGGGAGGCTGAGGCAGGCAGATCACGAGGTCAGGAGTTCGAGACCAGCCTGGCTAACACTGTGAAACCCCGTCTCTATTAAAAATACAAAAATTAGCTGAGCATGGTGGCATGTGTCTGTAATCTCAGGTACTCAGGAGGCTGAGGCAGGAGAATCGCTTGAACCCAGGAGGCGGAGGTTGCAGAGAGCCGAGATCGCACCAGCCTGGGCAACAAGAGCAAAACTCCATCTCAAAAAAAAAAAAACAGAGACAAAAACACCTTATTATTGATCTTTTTTGTGTGTGGTAGCTACTTGATTTTCTTCCATGTATGCATGGGGTTGACTTTCTTTACTTTGACTTGTCTGTCGGTGGGTATATGTGGAAATTTATAGAATCACAAAATTTTAGAGTTGAAAGGATGTTGGAAGTTGTCTAGCACAACTGTCCTCCCCAAAGATTCTCTTTTCAGCCATCTTGTTAGATGGCTGCCATTCAGCCCCTTGCTTAAATAATTCATTAACGGGGTGTCCAGTACACCCTGCCCAGCCAGTGTATTCCAACAACCAACAGATCTGTCCTTTCTAATCTTCTCTCATACACCGAGCTAAGATAAGCCCTGATAAATGTACCTACTCGTTCTGCTCAAGGCTCCTGGAGCAGCACAGAGGTAGCTTTTAACGGGCTCTTCTATGTGTTAGCAGAGTGATTTGGGGTGAATCTTTTGTACTTCTGTTTCCACTTCTATAAAACGAGGGTGATAATGGTGCCCACCACATAGGATGGTTAGGAAGCTTCAATAAGTTAACATAATATACTTAGAAGAGTGCCTGGCACATAGTAAGCACTATCTAAGCTCACCATTTTATCATCATTGTGCTAATATCATCACTGTGCTGTTGTTACTGCTGTTATCATCTGACATGACATTATCTTATCATTATTGATTAATGCTGATATTATTATCACTTGACAGTAGTGGAAAGATGCCTTCTGTGGTCTGTTACACCAACCCTCTCTTCTGGTGCATGTGGGTAAGAATATAATAGCTGTCTTGCACTGTGACCTGCTAGAGAGTGAGGGCTGTGGCATGGGCGTGGCCCCCTGTGTAGCACCCCCACAGGGACCTCTGAGATTGTAGGTAGGCATCATCCACCATTCATTCCCTCATTCATGGACCACCCAATGTTGTTAGGAAATGAGGATGAGGGAGAAGGAGGAGGAGGAAGAGGAGGAGGAGGAGGAAAGGAATGGAGGCTTGCTTTGTTCCTGGACTGTAGCAAACCCTTGTTTGAAAATGCTGTATTCAGAACTGGAGGTGAGACTATTTCTGCTCTCCTAGAAAACAGAAGAAGAAACTAACACTTTATTTTTTTTTTTGGGATGGAGTCTCACTCTGTCATCAAGCTGAATGTTTTCAGCCATTTCAGTTTTCATATTTCAAAAGCGATTTGACCCTCTAAAAACTGTTAATTTTTTTTTTTTTTTGAGACGGAATTTCGCTCATGTTACCCAGGCTGGAGTGCAATGGCGCGATCTCGGCTCACCGCAACCTCCGCCTCCTGGGTTCAGGCAATTCTCCTGCCTCAGCTTCCTGAGTAGCTGGGATTACAGGCACGTGCCACCATGCCCAGCTAATGTTTTGTATTTTTAGTAGAGACGGGGTTTCACCGTGTTGACCAGGATGGTCTCGATCTCTTGACCTCGTGATCTACCCGCCTCGGCCTCCCAAAGTGCTGGGATTACAGGCGTGAGCCACCGCGCCCGGCTTTTTTTTTTTTTTTTTGAGATGCAGTGATATGATCTTGTCTCACTGCAGCCTCCACCTCCCGGGTTCAAAGAATTCTCCTGCCTCAGCCTCCCAAGTAGCTGCGACTACAGGCACGCGCCACCATGCCCAGATAATTTTTGTATTTTTAGTAGAGACGGGGTTTCACCATGTTGACCAGATGGTCTCGATCTCCTGAAACTGTGATCCACCCACCTCAGTCTCCCAAAGTGCTGGGATTACAGGCGTGAGCCACTATGCCAGGCCCTGAAACTAACATTTATTAAAGATGATTTTGTGTCAGGTTCTGTGGTAGAAACTTTCATATCTGTATGTCATTGAGTCCACCCAATGACCCTGTAAGGCAGGCAAGTGAGGAAACCGGGCCTCGAGGGGTTTAAGAACCTTGCTTAAGCTCATAGACGGGGTCCAGACCCAGGTAATCTGATTCCAAAGCCCACCTCTCGGGAGGAGTTTGTGGTGTTAAAAAAGGCCTGAGATCTGGAACTCCACATGCCATGCTTGGCATGCTAGGTTCCTATTTACTTAAGAGGCTGGGTGTAAGATAAATATTTAGGCAACATTTAAAAAAGAAAACTGTAGGAGCTCTTTACTAAACCAACACAGGAGACGCAAAGTATTTAAATTGGCCCCAGTTGACCCAAAACTAGAATCCAAGGTTGTGTAGACTAATCCTCAATAGAAACTTTACAGTCTTATTTACCTTGACTGAGAAATGTTTGGAGGAATTTCCTCCACGTCGGGAACCGTTTCTCATTGACTGGCTGTGCGTGCTGTGCTAAAATGCCCGCCAGCTCCTCGGAGATCTTCACCAAAGCTGGCTCCTGCAGAAACAAATTAAATAGAACCACAAGCAATTTTACTACAGAAATGAAAACTGCTTGTGGAGTGATTAAAAACCAGGCCTCCAACAGGCAAAAAAAATGTGGTTACTGTTTACCCAGAGTCAGAAAGCCATTTTGAAAATGTTCTCTCTTTTTTCAGCCATGTCAGTTTTCATATTTCAAAAGTGATTTGGCCCCCTAAAAATTGTTAATTGTGCCTGTTGTCTCTGAAAGGCACTTTTCTCTCTGGGCATCAGGGAACCAGGTCTCACACCCACTGCTGCCGACAGCCTGACTAGCAGAGTGTCCTTGGGCAATAGCCTTCCCCACTCTGGGTCTCCGTTTCCCTTTATATAAAATGTGGGGTTAAGTGTTTTCTTTTTCTTTCCTTCTTTTCTTTTTGAGACAGAGTTTTGCCCTTGTTGCCCAAGCTGGAATGCAATGGCATGATCTTGGCACACCGCAACCTCCACCTCCTGGGTTCAAGTGATTCTCCTGCCTCAGCCTCCCCAGTAGCTGGGATTACAGGCATGTGTCACCGTGACTGGCTAATTTTGTATTTTTAGTAGAGATGAGATTTCTCCATGTCGGTCAGGCTGGTCTCGAACTCCTGACATCAGGTGATCCACCCGCCTCAGCCTCCCAAAGTGCTGGGATTACAGGCATGAGTCACTGCACCTAGCCACCTCCATATATTAAAAAAAAATTTTTTTAAACATTTTTTTCAGATAAGGTCTTGCTCTGTCGCTCAGGCTAGAGTACAGTCGTGTGATCATAGCTCATTGAAGCCTCAGTCTCCTGGGCGCAAGTGATCCTCCTGCCTTAGCCTCTCAGTTGGCCTTAACTACATGTGCGTGCCATGCACGGCTAATATTTGTAGAGATAGATCTATGTTGTCCAGGCTGGTGTCAAACTCCTGGCCTCAAGCAGTCCTCCTGCTTTAGCCTTCTAAAGTGCTGGGATTACAGCTATGAGCTACGGCATCCAGTCATCTTCCATCTCTAATATGTGCTGTTTCCCCCTTGTTGGTGGATGTCTGCATCCTATAGCTTCATCATCAAAGCCTTAAACTATGGGCTGAGGCTGTAAAGGTGGGATTTTAGGTAGGGATGGGTTGGAAGAGTTAGGTGGAAAGGAGTATTGGGGCCAGCCTCAGTCTGCCTGAAATCCCCCCTAGGTCACAGTCTCAATTGTCTGGATGTGAGGCTGGTCCCATACCATCTGTAAAACAGCTTAAAGACTGAAGGGCCTCCTGTCAAAATGAAAGCAGTAGGGAATCCTCAAGTGAATAAGAAGTCTGCTTTTGATATAAAAAGTCTTGGTTTGTGAGGACATACTTTTTTTTAGATGACCTAAGTTGTGATGTTCTTCCTCTTAGACTATCTAAACATTTTCAAATAGAAGCCACTTCTTCAGATTTTATTTCTGCCAGAAGTGAGGCAGGGTACTGGATAGAAACTCATATGATAGACAATATTCATATTCAAAATATGGGGCACTGACAAGAAAAACTCAGATCTGCTTTACGTTGCAGGGGAACTTCCGAATCTGAGTGATGGCTCAGTAATTTGGAGGAGTCAGCTTTGGGGGTGGGATTGGAATATAATAAATTATACATATGCTGGACACAGTGGTTCAAACCTGTAATCCCAGTACTTTGGGAGGCTGAGGTGGGTGGATCATGAGATCAGGAGTTCAAGACCAGCTTGGCCAACAGGGAGAAACCTCATCTCTACTAAAAATACAACAATTAGCTGGGCATGGTCGTGCTGGAGAATTGCTTAACCTGGACCCAGGAGGCAGAGGCTGCAGTGAGCCCAGATCACGCTACTGCACTCCAGCCTGGGCTATAGAGCAAGACTCCATCTCAAAAAAAAAAAAAAAAATCATACACGCTTATTTCCAATTTCCCTACCATTAAAAAGTGATTGTACTCTATGCACTGCCCCAACTCCTTGGAACAGCTGGTTGATTCTAGGTCCAGTGCCCACTGACAATCCACAATAGAAGACAAACATCTGACACTGTGCTCTCGGCAGGTTCAGAAAATCTGAATAACTTCTGAAATACCCAGAAAATCTTGGTGGGAGAGTTTCATCAGTTGTCTTAGTAAGTGCTTGACATACAAAACAGAAATGCCCTGAGAAGTGGAGAGGGCCCTGGCTCACACTCACTTCAGGATGAGTCCCTACACAGTGGGAGAAGGTCTGTTAAGAAGGGCTGGGGAAGTGCTCATGCAGAGAGCTCTGCCTTGTGGTGCAGAGGCAAGCAGAACTGCTGTCAAGGCAATGGGCCTTTCCCCGCCCTTCATATCCTATACACGGCACACATTTTCTCTGATCTTTACTGTGAATTACCTGATCGCCCCAAAGCCTTGCATCTAAATTATAAACAAGCATGTGGAATGCGCAGCTCCAGCAACCTGGACCCCTTATTTGTACCTTCTCCGAACAGTCCCCCAAACCCATCTTTCTTTTGTTTTACGCTTGTTTCAGTTATAACCATTCCATTTTATCAAGGAAGACCAAATGTCTCTGATTTATGAAGTGCCCCAAAGCTGGGACAATGAAACACAGAAGGGTTGGAGTCCCACTCTTCTCTGGAAAACAGAATGGCAAGGAAAGAAAGTCTCACAGCCCAGGCCCTCTCTCAGGAAAGTGGGAATTTCTTTGTTCTGTTTTGATTAAATGGCCTTTTCTGCCCCACTGCTGGAGAATGTGAAATCATGTACCCGGTTATACGCTATGTGCTGATTCACACCAAGAGGGTCTAAAGAGAAATTGTTCATTCATTCATCTATGTATCAAAAATTACAGAATGTCAGGTCTTTTAAACAAATGAACTAGGAAAAAAGTGGTTATGTATTTTGGGTTCTTTTGGGTTTTTTTGGTGTTGGGGAGAGAGGAGGAAAAGGCGGCAAAGGAGCAAGTAAAAGCCTTACCACCTAAATCTTGAAAAATCTCTTTCAACTTGAGGATCAAGTCCAAACTGCTCAATACGACAGATGAAGAAGGTCCTCATGATATGACCTCTGACTCCTAACAGCCTCACTTTCCTGCCCAGCTCCCATCCTTCCCCTATCAGGTCCTCCTCTGCTTTCCTTCTTTCTCTTCCTCCCCTTCCTGACTCCTCCTCATCCTTCCTGAGGTAGTTCCAGCCACACCTCCTCCAGGAAGTTTTCTGTCCCACTCCAGTGCGTGTCCTTTCTCCCTGCTCTCTGGCTCTCTCGGGGCTGCTTAATGGCATGGGTGCTGGCTTTGAGGTTGGTCTCCCAGTGCCTAGCACAGGGAACACTAAATGTTTATGGAATGAGTCATGATGGTGGTAAACACAGGACGTAGTCCTTAAAGCTGAAGTTACAGAATAAGACAAAACATGAAGCTTCTCAACGGGCTCCTCCTTGCTACCCAGGAAGCAGCTGGAGGGAAGGCTGCTTAAGAACCATAGATTCTTCCTGGGTAGACTTTATGGGATTCCCTGCCTCTAAAGGGTATCGGGGAGATAAATGAGGTAGCATTTATGAAGTGTCACCTCAGACGCAACATACTATGTGGGGGCCAATAAGTAACTCATAAGCCTGCTGCCTGTGTGTGGCATCTGGACACTGTGCCAGGCTTCTGCCACTGCCTCTGCTCACAAAGCCAGCCATTCTGCTTCGTTGCTTAGAGTTTTCACTGTGCACAAAGGCCCAGTAAGGGGGTTAATTTCCTAGAGGAAAGTTGGCTGCTGGAATCTGGAGGAGTCATCGTGTCCTGCCATAAGAGGTACACAGCTGAAGGCACTGGCAGGGTGATATCAAATAGGGATGCTGGGGCACACAGAGGCAGCTTGGGGCCATGATTCATTCTCTAAGAAAAAGACATGGAGAGGAATAATGTGGGCTAAGAGGAGAGGGGTAGTAACTTTATTTCTTTATTTTGAAAGTGTCAGATGGGAAATGCAAGGATTATGCTAAGAACAGCCTTTGTACCAACAAAAATTGTCTTCCCATCCCTACAAAACAAACCAAAAACATACAGCAGGACCTGCAGCTCATATATTCAAGTAAGGTCAGAAAAGTGACATTCTTAGTAAGGGTTTCATTTTATTTTATTCCCCCAACAAAACAACCCTTTACAGCCTGGTTTCTGCTGGGACGCAGAAGCTGCTTGTGAGCTGGTGGGTTAGGCCACAGCTCAAATCCAGAAGCAAAAGACTCCATCACAGCAGTGGCATAACAAGCTAAGAACACCCTTTTTCCAAGAAGCAACAGGTCCCAATGGCCACAAACAGTCTATCAACATCAGATGCAAGCTCTCAGTTTTTGGGAGGGTTTCTGTTCTCTAGTTTGTATCATTTTGCATAGTTCAAACACAATTACACAACTCCAAGAGCATCTGCCCTATAGGGAAGATCTGTAGCTATTCAAGTTTATTCTGTTCAAAACAAACTTAGGTACACAGAGAGAGAGACACACACGCCCCTTGCGTAACAGACAAACACTCCAATTCATGTGAATCATGAGGACGGTATTTGTAAAATTCTCTAGTCACAAATTCACACTCATGATCTCATTCCTTCCTTTCAGCAACACTCTGCGGCAGCCACCACTATGTGCTTTAAAATGGGACGCGAAGGCACTAAGAATGAGGAGCCTTGTGTGAGGTCACTAGGTGAGTTTTAAGTTTCAACAAATGATTAAAGATAGAAAATAGCCGGGCGCGGTGGCTCACGCCTGTAATCCCAGCACTTTGGGAGGCCGAGGCGGGTGGATCACGAGGTCAAGAGATCGAGACCATCCTGGTCAACATGGTGAAACCCCGTCTCTACTAAAAATACAAAAAATTAGCTGGGCATGGTGGCGCGTGCCTGTAATCCCAGCTACTCAGGAGGCTGAGGCAGGAGAATTGCCTGAACCCAGGAGGTGGGGGTTGCGGTGAGCCGAGATCGCGCCATTGCACTCCAGCCTGGGTAACAAGAGCGAAACTCCGTCTCAAAAAAAAAAGAAAAAAAAAA